CTGCTTAGTAGGGAATTGCAACATATGGAATGAACTGAAGAAAAATAGTATCTCCTGTCAAAAACGCAGCACCACCTCATGTACAACTCCCAACTCTGCAATATTTTCAGCTGACTGCTCGGACTATCCAACAGAGTGCGGGATTAAACTCCTGAACTTTGGCTCTGCGGACAGATAGATAACTCACTGAGCTATCCAGCCATCTTCTCCAACTGATGGGTGCCTCAATTCTTCGTTGCAATTAACATGTCAGCGGGCTTCACTATCTTAATAGGTACCTACCTCTACCTCTCCTCTTTAATACTATATTCCCTCTAATGACTGTGAAGACCTACATCCATGCCAAATCCCATGAAAAGGCTGCTGTTCTCAGTGCTGAATGTTTACATTCCAAATAAAGCATTTACAGGGAGTTACACTGTTTCTCTAACAGGTCACTGCCAACTTTGCTTCCTTCCTAGCTATTCAGCAATGGGACAAAACTGCAGTTCTAATACATACCAAGGTCTAGTTTTGGTTGTCATGATTCTACAGTACTGCACGTACCATGGGTTTTTCTTTTCATATTTTCCATACTTTTTAGTACATAAATTCTTTTCAACCAACTGCAGAAAAACACGCCCTAAATTCATGAATACATGCCTCTACATACATATCTGCCATGTATGTATAACTCTGCTCTGAGTATCTATTGGATAATGAAATCTAAAGTTTTTTTTCTGATATTTCTCTCTCTCTCAAAGTTTGCTTCTTTGAGTCCTGTTGATATTTTTCCTCCAACAGGCAAAACAAATCCATGAATACTTGGGATGGAGGTTTGAACTAGGAATTCCTGCTCAAAGGAATCATTTTTACTTGTCCAATCCCATCAAGGCCTATTTGATTTATATTCTCAGGGTCTATGTGACAAAAGCTCACAGAATAAAATAACAAACCCATAACCTTTATTCTAATTTCCTCTTCACAAATACTCCTGAGTTTTCACCACACAGTTCCCCAAATTATTAGCTGGTGTTGTCATTAGATTGGAGTGCCTAGCTGTGCGGTCAAGGCCCATGAGTCTGACTTCCCACTGTACGTCCTGGGTAGGGTGACCAGGTGAGATCACCCACAGTTTGTGCAGCTGCCCAGTCCCAAAGAACCTCCAATCCTGACTATTTTATACCTTTAAAAAAACCCTGGAAGCTCTCTGTGTTTGGAGAACAGCCTGAAAGGAACTAAATTTATATGATGTACATATGAAATGCCCATTACACTGAAACACTTAAAGGCAGAATTCTTGTATCACCTCAAGCACAACCACTTTGAATTGACTAAATGGCCCTCAAAGTTTGTTGTGAGTTTGGTAAACATGCCAAATGACATGGTTTTTGAGAGCTCATCAGTTAACCACGAGGAGCTAAACTCATTATCTAGACCCCCAAAAGTCTTGTTAATCTTTCCACAGAACCACTGGTTTAAAATAATTATTTTCTGGGTAAATAAGCATTTCATAAAGAGTAGACTAAAGGATAAAGGAGGACTAGATGCAAAATTGATCATTCTCTTCTGCCCTCCAGAGATTCGTGCGGCCCTGTCGCTGGGTATTTTTAAGAACCAGTTAAAAACTTGGATGTCTAAGCAGGCCTTCCCTCCAGTTAATACTTAATTTTCCCCTCTTCATTTACCCGTTGTTATTTTTCCCATCTTGAAGAATCTGTTTATTGATCTAAAATTTCTTCTTTATTTTGTTATTTTTATATGTTGTTTGTTTTTTTTTTTATTTTTTTTTGAAAGCCACCTAGAGTGGTCACAAGACCAGATAGGTGGGGTATAAATAAAATAAATAAATAAATAAATTTCCTTTCCTCCAGAAAATATTTATAAATGGAAAGGTCCCTTTCACTTGACTTAACAAATTCGTTTCCTCCAGAAAATATTTATAAACGGAAAGGTCCCTTTCACTTGACTTAACAAAAAATAATTGGTTTCTCTCAAAATTGTTTCTTTTGAGGGATAACATCTGTATTAACTTTAACTTCAAGGGGGGAAAAACTTTACAAAACTTGAAGTGTGTGCAGCACCTTGCCCCAATGAAATGTTTTTCTGGTCTATATAGATTCCTGTGTCTGACCTTGAAAAGGTTTAGTTTTCTCAAAAAAGCAGTACCCAAATTTGTCTGGAATTTCACATTAGCTCAAAATTTAAGGGTAAGTGTATTTAGAATGTATGGAATTCATAAGGCTGAAGTAACATTGACTTTCATGAAACTGCTGCATTCCCAACAGCAGATTTTCCAGGAACTAATACCATTTCAAATGGGAAAGGGAAACTGGAATTATTATTATTTCTGGTGTCTTGCTAATCAGCTCTGCATGAAGCAAAAAAGACTAACTAACCACAACCACCACATCTATTCTTACAGTCTGTCTTTTCAGCTTGGAATATTTTCCTTGGCAAATGGCAGGCTTGTAAAGTCAAATGCCTGAAAACATAAATGTCCTCCAGCAGTCTGTTAAAATAATCTTTCTAGGCAATGCCTCCTATAAGGAGTTCAGTCTCCCATATACATTTCTCTAAACAGATGTATTTCAGTCTTATATATAATCCTTCTTCCTGGCTTTTAAATAGTGGAAAAATATACTTCCTTTTGCCAAACCTTCTCTAGTTACTGGAAAGATTTATGAAATAAACAAACATCAGAAGGCACAAGTCAAAAACAGTGTTCTTTCTGGGCCACCTTCTTGCAAAATGCATGAAAGTTAGAATCCTGAGTCGTATTAATGACCCTGTCGCTTCAATTTTGCATTACACTATCTTGGAAGTAAGAGTCAGAACATGTGCTGTAAATATCATCCAAAGGCTAAAAAAAATCAGACTTCATGGGATGACTTGTCCACTCTATGGCTGTGACAAGTTAACACTAGCCACAATGCTTGGCAAAGAGAGTTTCCACACCAGTGCTCTATCTTCCAGAGGACAGCTGGCCCTTATGGAGAAATATTCCACGTTAGACATCAGAATGCCATGAAATCCCATGCTTTATGGGATGGAAGTTGTTGACTCCACAGAGGCTGTTTCCAGAAGTCTCTCTGTGGCACTCAGAGAGTTCTCATTCTCTGAAGTACCAAAGAAGAGAACAAAATTGTCTCAGAAATTCTCATTTGAATCAAAGTCTTCTGGCCCAAACTAAATCAAGATTGTAGAAAAAGCATACTAGCTTTGCACATTCAAATGAACCAAGGGAGATGGGGAAGGAAGCATGAGTGGTCCATAAATATACCCTCCCTCCCCATATATCTACCTCTCTTTATCTTCCTTCCTTTTGTGTGTGTGTGTGTGTGTGTGTATACTGTGTGCCTATATACACACACACTATCTCCCAGAGCTTGGAAATGTCCCATTTTTAACACAGTTCCTAATCTCCCAGACAAGATGGCCATAGGCCATGCTGGCTCAAAGATTGTGGGAGCTGTGGACCAAAAAAAGGAAAATTTTCAATCTCTATTTCTTGCATCTCCAATGTGTTGATCAGTTTGCAAGGGAAAGTATGTGTGCCCATGTTTAGTTTCACACACTGTGACATCCACATTAATAACAGAAAGAGGACTTCTTTATCTCACTTTATTCTCAGACGCTGAAGTGGAAGAGAACAAAATTGCAGAAGTTTTTTTTCTCTTTTTCTCATTGTGTCATTGACACACTGTTTACCAGAGTATACTCAGCAGAAACCATTCTTCCTTGGGATTTCAAATGCAAGATGAAATTACAGGATACTATCTGACTTGGTGGGAGCTGTGGACCAAAAAAAGGAAAATTTTCAATCTCTATTTCTTGCATCTCCAATGTGTTGATCAGTTTGCAAGGGAAAGTATGTGTGCCCATGTTTAGTTTCACACACTGTGACATCCACATTAATAACAGAAAGAGGACTTCTTTATCTCACTTTATTCTCAGACGCTGAAGTTTTTTTCTCTTTTTCTCATTGAGCCGTTGACACACTGTTTACCAGAGTAAACGCAGCAGAAACCATTCTTGCTTAGGATTTCAAATGCGAGATGAAATTACAGGATACTATCTGACTTGCATAGGCAAACTGCCTCTCCTTGTGTTTCTCTCCCTGTTCATAAAAGTACTGGAGCACCTTACTATGTTGGATTAGGGAATTCATGCTAGCAGCTAAGGGGTTCTGTGCCAGGAATAGAAACTCTGTTGAATGCCCAGTATTTCTGTGGGAATTCACCACATTAGTGGAAGCTTTACTGCCTCCTGAATAGCTGGGACTGTATATCTCACCAACGCACAAGAAAGTGGCATGCATGGGGCAACATACTGAATAGCCCCTATAAAACTCAGTAGATACAGGCAAGTATCATGTGGAGGATTATAGCCACTAAACTGTGAAAACAGAGTCCAGATTTGAGAATCTAAAAAGTTGTCAAGTCCAAGCTCCAAAAACAGGTGTTATAATTTTTCGCCCAGTTTCCTTTGGATACAGTTCTATGAAGTAGCATTTCCAACCAAACCAAATTTCTAAATTCAAAAATTGACTTTTATAAATCTTCTACAGATAAGATAAAATGCAAGTCAGGAGGTGAGGCTGAGGAGCTTGACACCGAGAGAGGCCCAGAAGGAAAGGACACGAAACTGGGCCTTCGCTCCTCACCTCCGGAGATTCATGCGGCCCCCACACTGGGTATCTTTAAAAGCCAATTAAAAACATGGATGTTTATTCAGGCCTTCCCTCTGGTCAATACTTGATTCTTTCTTTTTATTCTTTCTTTATTTACTCTTTACTCTATTTTTCTGTTTTGTAAATTGTTATTGGAAGATTTATGTAATACTTCTGTGTTATTTTATTGGTTGTTTATGTTATATTGGAAGCGGCCTAGAGTGGTCGCATAGACCAGATGGGCGGGATACAAATAAATAAACAAACAAACAAACAAACAAACAAACACATTTTCTGCTTTCGTCAGTACACTGTTCACAGAGAAAAATATAATCTCCTGAATGTTTACCTCAAAGACTTCCTCGTCGAGAATCCTTGTCCCAAAGACAGTGATGCCATTGGTGTCAACAGTTGCTCTGTCACTCCTTTCAAGTGGTTTTGTAGCTTTCTTCTTACAGTCCAAAATCATGGTGACTGATTTCTTCTCCACACTAATGGCTACCCGATGCCACCTAACATGGAAACAAAACTTTTTTTGTTAAGATAGAAAAGATTTTGCTTTTCAACTATGCTTGCAAATATTAAGAGTTTTCAAATTTGAATGAAGTTACAATGTTATTGAAAATATTAATCAGCTACAATTTCTCACTAAAAACAACTCTGATTGTAGAGGATGGCTGCTAATAAAGAAGGCAAAGCATATCTGTAAGCATCCAGGGATGGTGGAAGGAGAGGGTCCGGAAAATGTCAGGGAGGACCATTGTTTACAGTAAGATACATGCTCTGACTGCAGAAGATCCAAAATCCAGGCTCTGGTACCTAGTGAGGAATCTCTGTTAATCTTCAGTTCCCATGGAATATAATTTGAAAAATATCTGATTTGCACCACCTGGCCACCAGCGTCGCCTACCAAATGAGACACCCTATTTGGTTTCATGTTATTTCTTTCACTTACTTTCCATCAGCAATATTGACTGTTCTGAAGAGGGGATAATCTTCAGGGGCAGGCTTTCCATTTTGATCCTCATAAAGAAAAACAGGTGACCTGCCAACCTCAATGCCGACTTGCTGAATGCCTTGTTCATTGTAGACAGACAACAGAAATGACTGGATTCCTTTTTTAGGTTTCACAGTAAGCAGTACTGAAAAGTCTTCAGGAAATTTTCCACCTAATGAAAGAAAAAGAAATGGCATCAAAAATCTTGCAGAATAAAGGAAAGACAAACTGTGAATACTTTTCAAAATTTGTATTTGCATGACTGTCAATGTTTTATTTCCTTAAATCCTTATTTCTTCTGTTAGAAATAGCTTTTACAAAATCAGAATACAAGAACACTTTCCTTACCAAGGCACTCTGCCTTCTCTCCTTTTCATTCAGTCCAACTAGTACTTAAAAGTATGGCCACTTCAGACCATGAAGAGTTGTTTAAATTAAGCGTTGGGGGGGGGAGGGAGAGATGGAGCGAGCGAGCGAGAGAGAGAGAGAGAATTTCTTCTGTTAGAAATAGCTTTTACAAAATCAGAATACAAGAACACTTTCCTTACCAAGGCACTCTGCCTTCTCTCCTTTTCATTCAGTCCAACTAGTACTTAAAAGTATGGCCACTTCAGACCATGAAGAGTTGTTTAAATTAAGCGTTGGGGGGGGGAGGGAGAGATGGAGCGAGCGAGCGAGAGAGAGAGAGAGAGAGAGAGAGAGTGTGTGTGTGTGTGGGGAGAGATGGAGCGAGAGAGAGAGAGAGAGAGAGAGAGAGAGAGAGAGAAGATGAGTCCTTAAATCCCCACTGAAAGCATTGAGGCTCAAGTCTCCAGGATCTGATCTAAGTGTTATTTATTTGCAAATTCCTTAGACTTCAGTAGAACTTCCCTTGGGTTTGCTGGTCTTTGGCCATAATAAAGTTAATGAATGAAAAAAAAAATGATTGACTAGAACTAACTTTCAACATGGGAGCTGCAACTCCGAATAAAAATGACTGAAATCTTTCTGCTTATCGTAGTAAGTCACAAATCAGTGGGGATTTGGTTAGTCAACTTCTCTGTAAATTTCATTGATTCAATTAGGCCTACTCTAATTGTGATTTACTTTATGGCCTATCTGAATCAATGCCATACTCTGGATTCTGCCCCAGCACCTTTACATTCCCACTTCCGTTACTGGCACATGCTGTAAACATCATTTTCCTGAGACATCAGCCCTCAATAACAGTCATTCATTTCTGATCCACAGTATGTACCCAATGTGTTCAATTCCCCAGTCACTGCAGACAAAGAATGTAAATCCTTGCACATCCTGTCTAATCCTATTTTGGGGCATCCAAAGTGGGGCCCAGTCACTGCAAAAAAGAATGTAAATCCTTGCACATCCTGTCTCCACATGTGAGGACAAAATATCTGGGGGAAAAATATGTTCTCCACCTGAGGAGAATGTGAGAGATCTGCAGCACTCTCAACAAGAAAAAAAAATTCTGAAGTAAATTTCCACAAATAATGCTGTCATCCAAACAATGTAGATTGCATAAAATAAAAAATGCTGCTCATTTGTTGGATGGACTTTTAAAGGCTAAAAGTATTGAACAGGATCCTTGTGCCCTTGTTCAAACCAGTCAGCCATATATTCTGTGAAAAACACAAACGAATTGGGGTGGGGAGTGCTCCTTGTCATCTCACAATGTGATATCTCACAGGGATTGAAAATGCTTTGTTGAGGTCTCACTGAGTTGAAACATTCTAATTTGAAGAGAACAAAGGGTTTAGCAAGTATTTTTTAAATCCCTGTTGTAGATTTAAAGCTGGGCCAAAGCCATTGAAATTGGGATGTTAGGAGTAGGGGACCATTTCAGCTGGTGACCAGTCAGACAGTGGACTACAGACAGGGACTCAAGAGGCAATTTGAGTTGCCTCAATAAAATATAGATTCATATTTATTTATCATCATGTTTCTTTTATAATGAGAATCATTTTTTTTATTTCTTAAGGAGGTCAGCTGTTTTTCAATCAACCATATCAAAGATTAAACTCTGTTTAGGGCCCAGACACAATGCCAACTAAACTGAGGGTTTGTTCAAAATAGCTCTGAAAGCTTATAATTTCAGATGGGCACAAATCAGAAGAATGGTGATTCGTTTTGATTCTTGATTCATCACAGTTGATGAACCATGAATAATGAATTTGTGAATGTTTTTTCTGATGAATTCATCAATTTGTGCACAGTTGAAGGCTGATGTTTCAGGAAAATGTGGTTTACCAAACTGAATTCATCAATTCGTTTTTGCCTTTAAAACCCTATAAAATGCCCCCCCCAAGCACCTAGAGACACCAAAATCACAGACACTCTCCTCCAGTTTCAGATGTTGAAGTTATACACACACAAAGTGGGTCCCCTCAGGAAAGTGCTCTTTAGTGGCTAACTTGAGGAAGTCTAATGTTCACCAAACTGGGAGAGTCATGGGAAGCTTCTCTGTGATTCTGGTGTCTCTAGGTGCCTAGGGGGAACTTTCCTGGGGGAGCTTCTTTATGGGTGTATAACGTAGACATCCAAAACCCAATCTTCACCAGACTTGTACAGATTGTAGAAGAGAGTCAGAGGATGCTTCCCTGCAATTTTGGTGTCTATAGGAAGTTGAGCTATAAAACAGCCTGAGGAACTGTTTTATAGCTCAACGAATCAACAAATCAAAAATCACTAAAATTCATTGATTCATATTCATCAGGGACCATTGATTTGATAAATCAGCAACTTAGCAATTTTTTTAATGAATTTTGCAATTTGTTTTTCAATTCATGCCCATCTCTATTTTTGATCTCTTTCTCATGGCTCTACCAGGGATGGGAGAACACAGTAGCCCAAGGCTCATCTTGGATCATTCCCATAAAGGCAGATCATAAATTGCGTAGCTTTAGTAGCTTTTTTCCCCCTGCCAACCTTGCAGTTTGAAAGCATGCAAATGCAAGTAGATAAATAGGTGCCATCACAGTTGGAAGGTAACAACGTTCTGTGTCTAGTCACGTTGGCCACATGACCACGGAAACTGTCTTCAGACAAACGCTGGCTCTACAGCTTGGAAACAGGGATGAGCACCATGCCCTAGAGTCAGACACAACTGGACATTTGTCAAGGGGAACCTTTACCTAGGGATTTTACTGTTACATCCTAATTCACCCATGTAGTTTACAACTACACCTGCCTATTAACATGTGCCCTCTATTTACCGTTACTGCTTATTTTTACTTGTAACAAAAATCACAGTTCAGTTCATGTTCAATTAATTTATAGAAGTGATGTGTTGGTGGTACTGCTCAGTACAAAGGGATTTTGTAAGCACATGTAAAAGCAGTACACATTCAGAACAATTTCTGTTTTGAACAGCTGAAATCCTGTATGTATCCAGAAGAAAAGCAAGTTTCTTGTAAGTCTAAAATAGAATAGCTCAGCAACCCGAAGGATTGGCTTTTCCACAATTACATTTCAGTGATGAATGGCTGCCAAAGCTGAGTCATTAGAGTGGCTTTGTGGGGTTTAAACAACATTAGATTCACTATAGTTTTCAAACTATTTAAGCTCCTTTAAACCTGTTAAGTGAGAGAAGGCTTAAACAGATTACACTCAGAGACAATTCTGAAGTATTCCCATCCAAGCCTATGAGTTTGTGAAAGAGAAATGCGTAGAAACATGGAGGTGAAGCTGGGTGGGACAGATAAGAAGGAGGAATCTTTTGTTTAGTGCACTGCACTCCTACTCCTGTTCTAGAATTAACACCAGCTATACCTCCTGGCTTACTGATACAGGACACATAAACGATGCTGAAGGAGAACCTTGACCCTTCAGTCCAGACATCAACTTGAAATATGAGTTCTTTAGGCTTGGATGGCATGTTTGTTTTGATTTTTGCAAGCTCCAGATATGAAATCATAAACTGCCAACCACTGAGCAACACCAATGAAGCAGAAGGATCCTGCATGCTATTAATACTTGGTTTGACCTGAAAGGTAGAGAGGCCCGAGAAAGCAATTTAAATAGCTCCATCTTATGGATGGTACATTTTTGTTGCTGATCTAAGCAACTTTTTCTCTACACAGCCTTCAAACCTTCATACCTAGCATTGGAGTGTAGTAGTGAACTACGGTACACTGCACAGTCATTAAGTCCCACTTCTTTAGCTCAACTTGAAATGTGGGGATAAAGGCAGCAGATAACAACGAAGAAAATAGCTCCATCTTATGGATGGTACATTTTTGTTGCTGATCTAAGCAACTTTTTCTCTACACAGCCTTCAAACCTTCATACCTAGCATTGGAGTGTAGTACAGTGTAGTACACTGCACAGTCATTAAGTACCACTTCTTTAGCTCAACTTGAAATGGGGGGATAAAGGCAGCAGATAACAACGAAGAGCTGATGTATTTGACTGCCACTTTCAACCCACAACTTGCAGTGGAGATCCCATACACTTCTCGCCAGCACAGGCTGGCTGTAAGACTGTTAGAGCCTGCCCGGCTGTATGTGGTGTGAACTAAAATGTGGGGCTATCACAAGCCACACTTTCACAGCTGCAACTCATTTTAGTCTGCTGTGTGAGAACAATGAATTGCATTTTCTTACAAACTTGCATTAGTTGATAGTAATTTTTAAGACATTCCACACTGGTTGAGAACTGAGTTAGAGAAGGAATGCTTTCCTTGTTGCAACCTAGCTGCTTTTGTTTCACTAGGATGGGACACACCTGTGCTTAGTCCCAGCTAAAATAGTCTTACATTTCCTCACGGACTTCTGTGGACACTCACATTTCTCTCAGTGGGGAACTTTAGAAATAGTTCCTCAGTGACCTGTTCAGAGGACAAGATCGTGATTATTCATTTAAAAAAACATGAATGTCACTCTCCCTGTCATTCTGTTCTAGTCCTCTTCCCATGTCCACATGTGTTTGCAATCAGTCAGCATTCTGCACCCAGCATACTCAGTCTTCTCTAAACTGCTCTCTCTCTCTCTCTCTCTCTCTGTGTGTGTGTGTGTGTGTGTGTGTGTGTGTGTGTGTGTGTGTGTATACTGTGTGTGCCTATATACACCTTCCCATGTCCACGTGTGTTTGCAGTCAGTCAGCATTCTGCACCCAGCGTACTCAGTCTTCTCTAAACTGCTGTGTGTGTGTGTGTCCTCCTGGGCTTCCTTTGCT